ACACAGCTTCCCTCATCGTTCCCATGAAAGTTATCGTGACCACTTCCTTTAATGTGGAAGTGGGGATGCTGATTAATGCCCCATTAGTGAATAAGCAAAGAAATCCGGAATTGGAATGGGACCATTTTCTTCGCCCGTTGACCTTCGATAATGGACGAGCTAGCAACCAACTACTACAACTACAATAAGTGGTCTTGTGCACATATTAAAGCTGTAGCCACCAGCAGGGTGAATATCGCTTGAGGATTCCTCAACGGCACGTCGAGGATTCTCTGCCCGATCAGACACGATCTCTCGCGCGGACATTCACACTCGCCATGCCGTGCCGTCTGTGCTCTCCGCGCGGATGTTCACTCTCGGCACTACTCTCGCATGGTAGAGAGCTATGGTCGAGGATTTCCTCGACCGTTATTCACCCTGCCACCATCATACTAGCAAAGGCCATGCTTTGATTGGTAACGCGTTCCATGGGAAAGTTATAGGATACGCACTCAAAGCGGAATACCTCATCAAAATGATAATCGAAGGACGCTGCTGCTGGGGGCGGAGCACAGGCCGTGGCGGAGCTCAGAAAGGAATGGCAAGCCCAGTACGCTGCAGCTAGCGCACCTTTGGCCACAAAAACGCCACATTTCGCTTTCCTTGGCCCCTGACTACTGCTTCCACTGGTGCATGTACTTCCACGCTGCACACACACTTTATCGTAATCTCTCGCTTTAGGATATATATGCTAGGAACACCTCAGACATTGGTTTCTTATGCCAACTTTTCCCTGCTTTGTAAGCTTTCTTCTGACTGAGTTATAAGTTTTCACTGAGTACAGGTTTTTCAGAGAAGGCCTGCCCATTGCAGCTTTCCTGGTTCCATTTAGCTTATCGATGCACGCCTTTATCAGTTTTCCCTTTCTGCAGGCTGATTTGGTATCAAATTCGTGTCGGGAGGAGCGTGTATCGAATGAGCAGTCCCCTCCGGTACTGCTCATTCGATACACGCTCCTCCCCCTGTGGGCGAGGCTTGCGTAGCTGATATGTTCATTATTTTTTGGTTCACGAGCAACTTATTCCGTACTTGACCCATTCTCTCCAGTGAATCTCCAAGAAGTACTGAATTTCGAAGACTGGGAGACAGACGTACAGACCGAAAACGGGAGGGCAAACAGACCGACAGACCTACAGGCGAAACGCTTTATATCAAGTAGGATCACAAACCTAACGTTAGTATAGACGCAGACCATTCCGAAATTCCATGTCGAATCCTTATTGATCGCGTCGGTTAGGGCGCATCCCATGTAATATGATATCTGGTACATCAACTGAAAGTATGCAATACTGAAATTCATTGTGTTCGACAACTGAGAAGATGAGGAACTCTTACTCGTTGTCTGGGACCAGTTTCAGTCAGCCACTGAAGAAAACATTTAATTATCATTTGTTCCAACGTAGTGTTTCGTGGAATATTCTTCCTACACGAGTAAATGAGGCAATAAGTGTTATATCGATAATGTATGAAAAGTAGAGCTATTACTTGAAGCAGTGGTTGACATTGAACATTCTTGTCTGATAATACGATTTTTCCTGGTGTACAAATTTTCTTGCCACTTGCTCATAGCCACAGTCGTACGTCTGAAAAGGAGGCTATTTCAGCTGGGACATATTTGAAGTGAAGAACGGTAAGCAGCTGGACAAGGAATGCAATCACAAATCAATGACAAGCCTGGTCAATGAAATTTGGAACTTAATGAATTTGGATTTATCACTTTTTCAAGGGGTGTGATAGCAAGTGATCTATGAAACAAAATTTGAGGACGGCCCACCATTCCAGTCATCATCCTTGATCTATGGTCGTACGACTTGACTCCGAACTCTTTCACAAATTTACCGATGGCGATTCTGTGGCGGAGACCATTATGCATTTGAAACAAGGCAGGTCTGAGCCAGGTTGGTAAATTTTGTCCACATGCCGGCAACGGTCCTGAATAAAAGATTTGACTCCACCGTCTTTCCTGTTCACTTAACTTGCTTCACCCACTGATATGAGTGTGAATGCCGAATGGATAGCTGAGACTTGGCAGTACGACCGGCAATGACACAAACTGAATGTCACACTTTTACATAACATACGTTTACTGCAAATTTAAGTAAATGTAAAACAAAAGAGATGTTAACATGGGCACATGTGTACGTTGAATTGCTTGAGAGCGACTTCTGGCTAGCCGTCGCACCTTTACACCGTGGTAGATCTTCGGGGTGCGTGACTATTCAATCGTGGCAGTGGCTAGGTCGCCGCGCCAGCCGCCGCAGCCAGCGATATCGCGGCGAATTTGCAAAGAACTCAGCATCCAAACATTGGGGAATGTAAGATTAGATGAAGTTTTCAGTCATGAAACATGGAATAGGAATCACCTAACCCCTTGAAATGCAGTTTCTTCGCCCCTTGCCATTATTACAAACTTATCCTATCATGCTTATGTTAGCGCCTTCCTCACCGTTCCTCTGTGTCTTGGAACGTGATATTCTTTCTGATTGAACCAGATTATCACTCCCTGATAGAAATTCAGGCAGCTGATTAATAAAGAAGTCAATTAAATTCAAAAGGACAACCTTTACATGGTACAACCTTTGTACTGTGAGGCTTAAATCACTGCGGAGATCTTACAGTGACGCTTGCTGGCTTACTGATGTCCAGCACTCTGGTGTTATCAGTCACCTAGCCAACTTATGGACATGGATGGATAAGAAAAGGTCCACACAGAAATCGCCGCAGCAACTGCCGCGCGCGACGATTCTCGCCGCGTGAGCGGCGTGACCTCATTAGCCGACGATTGAATTGACCGTCTCCCAGATCTTCGGATCATCCGTGAAACTTCGCTACAAGCTCCTCCGAGGAAATTATTTATGCCATATGCTGAGCACACCGCATGTTCTAAACAGTGCTCTGGAACCCTGAACAAGTCGAACCCATCCCATGATTTTAGCCTCCTTTACCGCGGTGTATAGAAGTCCACCGTAGGCATTCCATGCTCCTCTTTCGATTATTCCTTCATGCAGTATACGGTGAATCAATAAATTTCATATAAACAGCTCCGCTTACCCCGGTAGGCAGGGATAGGTTGGACTGGAAGGAAACAAAAATTGCATATGATCTACTCTGTATAAATATTTCAACAATTATATTGCTTTGTTAGTAACGTATCTGGACATCTTTCTCAGCTGTCGTCGCAAACCAGCAACTTACACCATCACTAAGGAAAAACACCTCCAGTATAAAGCGCCACGTATAAACACTTTAAAGAATTTTGTTCTTGCACTAATCCACAACGATTACAGTAAGAAATTTCTAACTGAAATTGACTAGTGTTAAACATGTGTTCAGAACACATGTGAATTTTTTAAATTGCTTCCTTCAATCTTTTGTGTAACATTGATAAAATTTCATAACTCAAAAAAGGCTCAAGACAGTAGTTCACTCAAATATTATTCACTTGCTTCGTTTTGCTTGTTTTGGAGCTGTCCAGAAATGTCAGTATTCAGCGCAAGCAATTAAGTGGGGTCATCCCACAGGCAAGTTTGGGGAAGTGCGAAGTGACCTACCGTACGCTACAGTTATCCGCTAATTACGCTACCGTACACAGTTTCAAACTAAGTACCTCCACCCAAGGATAGGCCAGTCGCCTACCCCGGTGAATGTTCCACGACGACTATCATTGGATCTTAACCCTCCTATTTGCTCTAGTCCACCCTTTGCCGTCTGCAGATGGCTCAAGACTGTGATATAAGGTTTCCTATGCCAAATTTGCCTACTTTCGCGCAGATCTCCTTCCTCCACCAAGAGAATTCGCTCCCTCCCTTACCTTGCTGTCCCCTATTCAGTTTTTTGAATAGCTTAGCGCAAACACCATTAAATAGCACTTGAACTTCTTGGCTTGTAGAGCCCCAATACACGTGATTTCCGCTTTCCGGACTGTCTAAGAGCCGACTGACTATGAGACAAGGCTTTATGACTAACTCCGTCCACCTTGGTGTATACCTCACCCACCAACAGAATTACACTTTCTCCTGGTTATGAACTTAACAGACTTTCCACTTTCCCTGAGCTATCTCGAAAGCGAATTACGAAGATTTGTGGAAATCTTGCGCAAAACTGAGAACGAGGACAGCTCCATATCGGGTAGAGGTGGTCAGTGAAGTAGGGATGAAGAAGAAACCATGTGAAACAGCCCGAACCGAAATGGGACCACTTCTTTGCCTGTTGATTTTCGCAATGATGCGACTCTTACTGGGCCCTCTTCGATGTCAATCCTCTTGTTGCTATGTCGGTAGGCGTTCCGGGCCAACTAAAGGAAAGGCCATGCCAGATCGTCGGAGGCATATCTTTTGATGCGAATTGCGTGTTGGTCCGCACCGTTAGGGGTCGCCTGTCTCTCCACTAGGTAAGTTTCAAATTCTCAGACCTTGTTCTTATCGTAGTTCCCTCCTTCAGTACACACTGAAAAGCCTTCGGAACGATTAAATAACCTTGTTTCTTATCACTTTAGAGTCTGAGCACTGACTTGCGTCTAGTGCAGTCGAAAAAGTTCTGTAAAAAGGTTGGTGACATTGATTACAGGAAGAAAAACTAGAATGAGGCACTCATACACTGACAAATAGTGGATCTACACGGACCAAGCTTCAGCTAAAGTACCAAAACTCAAATCATCAAATGCTGGCCTGCCTAAAGCTTGGCGGGTCTTTTCGTAACAGAAGAAACTTAAAGAAGAGGGGATTAAGAGTGGCGGGCTAACGTCTACATCAATGAAAACCTTGGTCCCTGCGCGACAGAGAACTGTGCCCTGTTCGTCAGCTCCAGGAGAGTAGCGGCTAACGAAGACTCATCACAAGAAACCATGAAAAGTCGCATATAGGAATCAGTGATAAAGATGGACATAGCCCGTAAGTGACGCGTAGATGGCGTCTTCGCCCGAAACCGACTTCTGCGGTCAGTGTGTGGGACTGCCAAAGAGTGAACGTCTAAAAACATTATCTGTATCACCTGTAGTCCCGTTGATCATCGAATTGCTCGAGCGAGCGACAGCAAAAGTTCTCCATTCGGATCCAAGATTCTTTTCACTGACCACGGATCTCTTTCACTGAGGGTCCTCTCTCACTGAAAGATCTCGAGCCGGTTGGTGGCGAGGCTACGTGGCGCGACCCCAGGTGGCGGATAGGGGGTAAATCGCGGACCAAAAGCCACCATGTACTTGCCCTGAGACGCAGGTGGATTCGGATGGACCCTGTTCTGTAGTGCTGTGTCGATTCATACCAGCTTCTCCATACAGGTGTATCCATGCATGCTTGCGTGTGTGGTGCGCTCTGTGTGTGTGCGGTTGGTATCCTGCATGTCGGCACAGCCAAAAGCTGAAAGTGAGGGAAGGAAAAAAAAAAAAAAAAAAAAAAAAAAAAAAAAAAAAAAAAAAAAAAAAAAAAAAAAAAAAAAAAAAAAAAAAAAAAAAAAAAAAAAAAAAAAAAAAAAAAAAAGGAGGCGATTCGGGGCCGCCTCCAAAAATAAGCCCCTTGTTCCGCTCCAGGATAGCGTGGCTAACTACCTGGAGGTCTATCCTAGCCCGCACGACAGAGCCTGGCAAGCTACTCGTGTGCCTTCAATATGCCGAAAACAGCAATATGGATGGGCCTCATTCCCCTGAACCTGAGGGAGCCCCCAATACGGCAGCGTTGGGTAGGACCGCTCGGGAGAGGCTGCTAGAATCTCAGGGCCCGGATAGGCTGCCTAAACGAAGAAGGACTAAGATGGCGATCTGTACTTTCAACGCACGAACGCTTGCATCCGAAGCTCACATCGAAGATCTGATGATGCAAGCCAGGAAGATCAAGTACGACGTCATCGGACTGACCGAGACGAGAAGGCACCGCCCGCTACACGCCGTTTTCGATACTGGAGAAGAACTGTTCCTTGGAACATGCGACAGCAGAGGCGTTGGCGGTGTGGGTGTCCTCGTCAACACGCACTTGGCCATAAACATCGACCGAATCGGACGTTTGAGATTGAGAAGATGTGGTTCAACTCCTGCTTTGACAATCTTCGTCGCCTACGCACCAACATCGAGCTACGACGAGGAGGAACACGAAGCATTTTATATGGAATTGGAGAAGTTCTACAAGGAAGATCATACCTTCTTCAAGGTCATCGTCGGCGACTTCAACGCCAAGATTGGCCCGAGAAGAACGGCTGAAGAACTTCACATCGGTACTCACGGAATGGATTGGAATGAGCAGGGCGAAAGACTGTCTGAGTTTATCATGTCGACCAACACCATCCATGGTAACTCGCAGTTCCAGAAGCCCTCTCACCTTCGCTTGGACTTGGGAGTCACCTGATGGACAGTTCCATAACGAGATAGACCACATCATCTTCAATCGAAGGTTTTGCCTGACCGACGTCGCTGTTGTTCCGAAAATAATATAATATATAATAATAATACAAGTAAAGTTCTACACGGGATCGGACCATCGTCTCCTCCGCGCAAAGTTCCACTTTTCGATGCGTGTTGAGAGAGCCTCGAAGTTCAGGAAGCGAAGCCCCAGGACAGTCATCAACTGGGATCACTTCACTTCTCTTGTCAAAAAGAATACAGTAGCCCCAAAAAATGAAAGGACGAATTCACGATGAAAAAGCAACCCATTTCAAATTAACCTAGGGATGGTGAGTGGTACACGAAAGAAGGAAGAACCATGAGAAACGGCCCAGAACCCGAGAAATGGTACCCCTTCCTTGCCCGTTGATTCGAGCATTGATGCGACTCTCATCGCTGTGCCCTCTTCAACACTACGCTCTCTCAGCTATCTAATCACTCGCCACGTATTGAACTACGGCGAGTGATCAGATGATCGGTGGGCGGAGATCGCCGACCCGCCAGCT